TCCATCCTAAACATATATGCACCCAACATAGGAGTGTCAACTTTCATAAAGCAGCTTCCAGGTAAACTAAAAAAAGATATTGATTCCAGCACTGTCATAGCTGGGGACTTCTATACCCCACTCACAACCCTAGACAGATAATCAGGACAAAAAATCCCCAATGAGAACTGAAACCTCAATGTGACTCTTGACCAAATGGACTTAAATGATACCTGCAGAACACTTCAGCCAATGACCACAGAATATGCATTCTACTCATCACCACATGGAGCGAACTCTAAGATCAACCACATACGTGGCCATATCAAGCATAAGTGAATTTTAAAATATTGAAATTTTGCCATGCACCTTCTCGGACCACAGTGGAATAAAAATAAACATCAACACCAACAAGGTTTCCCAAAACCCACAAAGACATGGACACTAAAGTAAACAGCATGATGCTAAACAACTCCTGTGTCAATGATGAAATAAAAACAAAGATTAAATTATACCTGGAAACAATGGAAATGAAGAAACATCTTACCAAAATCTCTGGGATGCCATGAAAGCTGTAGTAAGAGGGGAACTTATATCTCTACAAAATACATAAAGAAAATGGAAGGATCACAAATTAGCAGCCTAACCAGTCACCTAAGGAAGCTGGAAATGCAAGACCACCAAAATCCAAACTTCAGCAAAAGAATCCAGATCACCAAAATAAAAGCCCAAATCTGGGACATAGAAGACAAAAGGATAATGTAAAAAAATCAATGAAACAAAAAGTTGTTTCTTTGAAAGGATAAACAAGATAGATTGTCCCCTAGCTGGACTGACCAATAAAAAAAGAGGAAAAAAACCGAAATAAACACAATCAGAAACACAAAGGTAAAGTCACATCTGACCCTGAAGCAATACAAAAGATCATTAGAGACTACTATGTACACTTGTATGGGAACAAACTTGAAAACCTTAAGGAAATGGAAGACTTTCTGACATCACACAATCTACCTAGGTTGAAACAAGAAGAAAAAGAGACCCTAAATAGACCAATAACAATCAAGGAAATTGACTATGTAATAAGAAAACTACCTAGAAAAAAAAGCCCTGGACCAGATGGTTTTCCAGCAGAATTCTATAGGACATTTAAGGAGGAGATGATACTGATCCTACTGATCGTATTCCAGGCAATTGAGAAAGATAGAACTTTCCCCAAATCATTTTATGAAGCTAAAATCACATTGATACCCAAGCCAGGTAAAGACACAACAAAGAAAGAGAGCTACAGGTCAATATCTTTGATGAATAGAGATGCTAAAATTCTCAACAAGATCCTAGAAGCTGGATTCAACAATACATCTCAAAAATCATCCATCATAACCAAGTAGGCTTCATCCCTGGGATGCAAGGCTGTTTCAACATTCACAAGACAATAAATGTAATTAAGTACACCAACAGAAGTTGGAACAAAAACCACATGATTATACCATTAGATGCAGAAAAAGCCTTTGTTAAAATCCAGCATCACTTCTTGGTAAAAACCCTCAAACTTCCAGGCATACATGAAACATATCTCAAACTACTAAAAGCCATCTACAAGAAACCCTAAGCTAGCATACTCCTAAACAGACAAAAATTGGAACCATTTCCCCTGAAAATTGGAAAAAGTCAAGGATGCCCACTCTCTCCCCTCCTATTCAATGTAGTATTGGAAGTCCTGGCTAGAGTAATCAGAAAAGAGAAGGTTATCAGAGGTATCCAAATAGGAAACTAGGAAGTCAAGTTATCTCGCTTTGTAGATGACATGATTGTGTACTTTGAAAACCCAAGAGAATCTGTCCAAAGTCTCCTTGCACTGATAAAGAACTCTGGCAAAGTCTCAGGGTATAAAATAAATGTGCAAAAGACAATTGCCTTTGGTTACACCAATAATAAACAAACAGAAACCCAAATAAAAAGCACAATCTAATTCACAATAGCCACAAAAAAACTGAAATACCTTGGCATCTTCCTAACCAGGGACGTGAAAGACCTTTATGATGAAAACTACAAAACACTGCTGAAAGAAATCAAAGATGACACAAACAAGTGGGAAAATATCCCATGCTCATGGATTGGAAGAATTAACATTGTGAAGATGTCCATCTTACCAAAGGCAATCTACATATTTAATACAATACTCATCAAATTACCAGCAACATTCTTCTCAGACCTAGAAAAAACAATGCAGAAATTCATATGGAAACACAAACAACCAAGAATAGCCAGAACAATCCTCAGCAATAAAATAAAGCAGGTGGTATCATATTATCAGACTTCAAACTTTACTGTAAAGTTACAATAATCAAAACAGCTTGGTATTGGTACAGGAACAGGCATATAGATCAATGGAATAGAATTGAGATTTCAGAAGCAAAATCTCAATTTCTCAACCAACTCATCTTCGACAAAGTCTCCACCACCTACCAGTGGGGAGAGGAGAACCTATTCAGTAAATGGTGTTGGGAAAACTGACTGACCACATGCAGAAGACTCAAACAAGACCCCTGTCTATCCCCATACACAAAAATTAACTCTAAATGGACCAGAGACCTATATGGAAAACCTCAAACCATAAGAACCTTAGAAAATGCAGGACACACCCTTATGGAAATTGGAACTGGCATTAAATTCCTGAACAAAACCTAAAACGCATGGGCCATAAGAGATAAGATAGACAAATGGGACCTTATTAAACTGACAAGCTTCTGCAAAGCCAAAGAAACCATCAAGATAGCAGGAAGACAGTCCACAGACTGGGAAAAATTATTTGCCAACTCCATGTCTGACAAAGACCTAACATCTTGGATCTACAAGGAACTCAAACGTGCTGAAAAGAAAAAACCCCATTACAAAGTGGGCAAAAGATATGAACAGACACTGCTCAAAAGAAGACATAGAAGCGGCCAAGAGACACATGAAGAAATGTTCAACCTCACTAATCATCAAGGCAATGCAAATTAAAACTACACTGAGACACGAACTAACTCCAGTCAGAATGACCATTATCAATAACTCAAAAAGTAACAGACGTTGGAGAGGATGTGGTGAAAAGGGAACACTCTACACTCTTGGTGGGAGTGTAAGCTAGTGCAATGTCTGTGGAAAGCAGTGTGGCGATTCCTAAAAGCTTTAAAGATTGACCTCCCATATGACCCTGTGATCCCCCTCCTGGTAATATACCCTGAAGAACTCAAATCACTCTATGAAAATGAAGCCTGCATACATATGTTTATTGCAGCATTGTTCACAATAGCAAGAACCTGGAACCAACCATGCTGTCCATCAAAAGAGAAATGGATTTAAAAAATGTGGTACATATACACGATGGAATACTACACAGCTATAAAAAGGGAAAAAATCATGAATTTCGCAGCAACCTGGATGGAACTGGAGTCTATAATACTGAGTGATCTTTCCCAGCAACAAAGATCTGAGTCTCACATGTTCTCACTCATAAGTGAACCTTGAACATCTATCATAATACTATAAGAAACGGATTGACAGTGGTAGGAATCTATGGCAGGGGCAGGGAGGGCAAGGGTGGTGGGATTAATGGTAGTCAATATCTGTCTGGGGCTGGGGGGACACACCTTATCGACAAGGGTGCCTGAACGACGTTCATTTGTATACCTAACCCTTAACTGTATTGCACAATGGTAAAATTAAAAATATGTTTCAAATTAAATTAAATTAAAAAGTAAAAACTTAAAAACAAATATATATACTAACATCCACACAAATATTACACATGATAGCTAATATGAGAAGACCCATATTTACAAAAAAAGTAAAGTAAATACAAAAGTGTGTGTATGTGTGTGTGTGTTTTAATACATTGGGAAGTTCAGTAATAGACAATGCAAGAGCTGACACTACTCTGGTGAATAACCTGATTTTATTTTCAGTGGAGAATTCAGAGTGTGTTTTATTAATATAAACTTGCTATTTTTCTGATGAAGCACATTGGTTTTTTAAAATAACTTTTAGCCTTATATGCATAAATCTACAAATTGCTTATATTTTATATATGTATGTGTGTGTATTTATACTCCTTCAGTTGCATGAAAGAGAAAGATAGAGAACTGAGTTATGACCAATGAGTCAAGAATTTCAAGTAAAACATCAAGAGCCAGAATTTGCATACTCTGCCCTGAGTTAATAATGCATAATCAATTTTTTGTTGTTAACTTATGGAAGCAGGAAATACAATTTTATGAATTTGAAAATAGAGTTCTCAATTTGTAAAGAATTCAACCTTGAAAATAATAAACATTTTTTGTATTCCACAGTCATTTAACAATCTTGAAAATGTATGTATGTTAATTTGGCAGAGAAACATTGTACAATATAAAGGGACTCAGACATAACTTTAAAACACTGAGATATTAAAATATTATGTGATTTTTGAGATAATAAAATTAAATTTAAAACTTAGATATGTGAGATTGGGTTCAAGTCTTTGTTAGGGGTTGTGTTGAACCAAGAATATTGCTTGAATTTTTTCCATGGCACCCCCTATATTTGAGGTGAGATACGGTCATCTTCCTGTGTGGTGGAAAACCTAATGTCTTCAAACTGTGAAGCCGGGGCCATGGCAACCACATCCTATTTATTTTCCATTTAAAGATGACCCCTATGTTCTGCCCAACAGAAGTAACACCATGTCACTAAAACTTGTCTTTCTTCTTTGTCTAGATAAGTCCTCAAAGGGAGGAAAACATTAGGATAGAAAACGCTGTCTTGAAGACCTAGCATGTCCACAACCCAGGGCAAGAGGTGGTGGCCTAATGGGAAGCCAAGTTTATTTACCATCTGAGATAAGGCTGAGCTACCAAGGTTTGTATCTAAGACAAGACACAATTATAAACAGGACAGGATTCATATGGGACAAGTCATCTCTGATGTAGTTTTCCTTCCAGGATTTTATCTGAGCCAGAGAATCTGCACACACGTGGGTTCATCCTATCACAGATTTAGGGATGCTAAATGGCCGAATCAGCATGTTCTCGCAGGTAGGAAGGAGAGAGCACAAAGTTGACTGGAGTAGCTTACTTGGGGATGGTTTTGCAGTGAGTTCCAAGAGCACAAGAATTGAGGTCTTTTGCACAACCTGGCTCTCATTTTATGCTATAGATCCTCTGTATCACTGCTTCTGGGCTCAGTCAGTCTCCTGAAGGAAGCTGTGGTGTTTAGAGTCTGGGATATCTCCCAACCTGAATTGTACCCCATATCTTTAAAAATTTTTTAAAAAGAAACTGGGGTATATGGGAATGGGCTGGAACGGTCTTTGTAATAAGAGAAGGGCCCACTGCTAGTCCACAGGGAAGCCTCTGAGCACAGGGACTAACTCAGTTCTTCAGCTTCCTATGAGCTAAAGGGTTAGAGCTAGAGTCTGATAAGGAATGGGTCAGCAGTCAGTGAAATCATGGGCCTAGTAGCATATATTTATGTAAAAGAATTATTTAAATGTGTTTTAAATGTATTTAAAAGAATTATTTCAGCAGGGCTCAGTGGCTCAGCCTGTAATCCTGCACCTTTGGGAAGCTGAGGTGAGTAGATTGCCTGAGCCCGTGGATTCGAGACCCATCTGGGCAACTTGGCGAGACCTCATCTCTACAATAAATCAAAAATTAGCCGGGCATGGTAGTGTGCGCCTGTAATTCCAGCTACTCAGAAGGCTGAGGTGGAAGGATTGCCAGAACCCAGCAGGTCAAGGCTGCGGTGGCCAGGAGCGGCCACTGCACTCCAGTCTGGGTGACAGAATGAGACTCCAACTCAAAAAAAAAATTATTTCAATTACTTAGATTTGTTTCTTGAATCTGGCATATTTTACTCTTCTCTGCCATGCATACATTATAGAAGTATAATGTTGTTTAGAGGAAGCCTGCTATGTTATACTGGGGTCAGCTATGCCCCTGGACATCAGAGGACTTCAGTTTCGGGGACAAAACTTGAAAAACTTAAAGGAAGAAAAGTCCCTTCATGTCAATGAGTAGAAGGAGGAGTTTCACATTTTATTCTCTAAGACTCTGCTTCCTCTTCTTACAGTTAGTCAGGACAAGCTCTCCCTGTCAGCCTGGTCAAGCTCTGTGATTCCTCTGGGAGGACATGTCACTCTTTACTGTCATTCTTGCATTCAGTATGTCATAGTCAAACTATTCAAAATAATTGGGAGTCCTGACCCTGAGTTCCAGAATGACCTTTTAAACAGCATCACCATCAGCCCTGTAACTACAGAACATGCAGAGATCTACAGGTGTTTTGGATCTTAGAGCCACGCCCCTATTTGGTCAGCTTACAATGAGCCACTGCAAATGGTCACAGAAGAGGTCATTCCGAGTCCTGTCCACCTTGTGCCCAGAGAACCATTCCCAGAGGCCATACCCATTAAAACCAGAGAATTATTGTAGAATTTCTAGTCAGGACCTAGCTGTTGGCAGATAATCCATTCTAAGAATTTAAAGAAAGGATATTTATTGTAAGAAATTGGGTGACCACATGAAAAAGACATTAAGAGGAGAGCCTACCTAGGGATTACCAAGAGCAGAATGTTAGTGCCACCTACAAGCATGGAGGACACATCAGGAGCAATTTTGCCTGACTAGAGCACCAGTGTTTCACACCAGGAAAGATTTTACATTGTCTTGAATGATCTTGAGTCTTGGAGAAAACACAACTCAATTGACGATGTCTCCAGAGACTCAACTAGGAAATGGATAGGAAAATACACTTTTTTATTCCTCACTTCCTTCCATATCTTCTGATAGTCATACCATCATCCCATTTGCTCTAATTGATGTCAGAATTTTTAGAAAAAGTTAGAAAATGAATCTTGTGGGGTCACCGCCATCTCATCCTGTAGAAAGCATGGAAGATGGAGTAAAGACTGAGTCTCACAATCAATGTTCTTTGAAGGAACAGAGATGAGGTTGGGTCTCTGATCAGGTAGAAAGAAAATCAGGGTGAGGTGAGGCAGGGAGATCCAGGCTACAAAAGACCAGGAGCCAGATGGTAGAGAATAACACAGAGAAGATGTAAAGAGATAAGAAGGCTGGACACAGAAAACCTTTGGTGGTAACAGTCAGGGAATTTCACTTCTGAGATCTCAGAGGAAGGGATGAGGATGGCAACTCTTTAGACTGTGTGCTTTTTTTGCGCCCAGGTGCGTTCTCAAAACCCTCCCTCTCAGCCCACCCCAGCTCTCTTGTGCACATGGGAGACAGCATGACCCTGCGTTGTCATTCAGAAGTGACTTTTGATAAATTCATCTTGTACAAGAAGGAGAACACACAGGTTTTCCAGCATCTTGATAAGGGGATCCAGGATGGGATTCCTAACTCCCAGGCTGCCTTCTCCGTGGGTCCATGGACATCTGCCCAGGCAAGACCCTACAGATGCTATGGTTCTTTCAGTCACTCCCGCTATGAGTGGCCAGCCCCTAGTGACCCCCTGGATATTGTGATTACAGGTGAGTGTTGCTGGACCAGTGCTTTGTCGTTTGGTGTCATGGAAGCTTCAGGGGAGGATGTGGTTGTCGATCACAATGTTGGTACAGCCAGAAAAAGACTGGGACATGGAAATAGGAATATTAAAAGCAACAATAACTCAGTAGAGGGGGTAGTGAGGACAACAGAAATGGAGGGGGAATAGATAACTTACTATAATCAAAGAAAAAATTTGCACAGTGACAGAAACAGATAGAAAATTTGAAAAAGAGAGACAGAAAGAGAAAGAGAGAGAGAGAAGAGAGGAGATGAGAGAGAGAGAGAGAGAGAGAGAAAGAGAGAAACCTAGAAATGGCTAGAAATCGGGCTGGTTGCCCCAGCCCAGGTATCAAATGGTATTTTGAGTTGATTTCCCACATTGACATTACACCCCCTTCCTCTGCCACAAGACACAGTGACACATAAGCCATTTTCCCCAACCAGGCTTCTGAAGGATCTGAATGAAGATTGGGACCATAAGGAATTGCTCAGCAAAGGATTTAACATGTTTTTCTGTTCCACATGGGAGGAGGGGTCACTCCCCCCCCAAAAGTAGTGATATGTATACCTTGGACTTTTGAACAACACCAGGTTTTTCTTGTAGTGCCAGCCTCTTGAAGTTCTTACACTTTTAATACATGGGTTTGGGAAATAGTGGGACTTATTATCTCAAAGTTCCAGGTCCGGGAAGCTACAGCAAGCACTATGTTTTCTTTTCTTTTTTTTTAATCAATATTTTTTATTATGATATTGTGGGGTACAGTTAAGGGTTAGGTATACAAATATGCTTCGTTCAGGCACCCTTGTTGATAAGAAGTGTCTCCCCATCCCCAGACAGATATTTATTACCATTAATCCCATCTCCCTTCCCCTCCCCCACATAGTTTCCCACCACTGTCAGTCATTTTCTTATAGTATTACGTTGAATGTTCAAGGTCCACTATATGAGTGAAAACATGTGATACTCAGATTTTTGTTTCTGTGAGAGACCACTCAGTATTATAGACTCTAGTTCCATCCAGGTTGCTGAAAAATTCATGATTTTTTTCTTTTTTATGGCTGCGTAGTATTCCATCGTGTATATGTACCACATTTTAAAAATCCAGTCCTCTTTTGATGGACAGCATGGTTGCTTCCAAGTTCTTGCTATTGTTTTCTGAGGGTCTTCAAAACAGATAGTTATTTCAGTGTCCCTGAGACCTTCACGTCTCACATGGCTTCAAGGGACAGTGAGCCACAGATATAAAATTAAAAAAACAATAAAAATTCATCAAAAAGTAAAGCAACTAAACACACAGTGAGTCAGAATTATAAAGTTAAAATTGAAACCAAGAGAGGCATGGACAGATATACGGAAATTGCTCCCTAGGTAAGAACAAGTAGATAGAATTCATTTATGTATTAGGGATGGTGTAGAGATGGCTTGTGTTCTAAAATCAGAACCTCTTTTTCTTTTAGGAGAATACAAAAAACTTTCTTTCTCAGTCCAAGTGGACCCCATGGCAAGGTCAGGAGAGAACATGACCTTGTCCTGAAGTTCCAAAATCCCATTTGACAAATACAATCTATTCAGGGAGGGAGTCACCCACAAACCCTGACTCAGTGGAGGACAGAGCCACAATGGAACAATCCAGGCTAACTTTCCTCTGAGACCTGTGATACTGGTGCATGGTGAAATTTACACATGCTGTGGCTCTTTAAATAGCACTCCGTGTGTGTGGTCAGCCCCAAGTGACCCACTGAAACTTCCTTGCAAAGGTAAGAAGCCCATACATGGGCAACTCTCTCGGGTCCCCTCCTGTTGTGGGAGATTTTCTGTCTTCTCAATAAATCCTACTTTCAAAAAAATTAAAAATAAAAAAGAAGCCCAGCCGGGCTCGGTGGCTCAGCCTGTAATTCTGCGCCTTTGGGAGGCTGAGGTGAGTGGATTGCCTGAGCCCGCGGGTTCGAGACCCGCCTGGGCAGGCGAGACCTCATCTCTACAATAAATAAAAAAATAGCCAGGCGTGGTAGCGTGCTCCTGTAATTCTGGCTACTCGGAAGGCTGTGGCTGAAGGATCGCTGGAGCCCAGCAGGTCGAGGTTGCGGTGGCCAGGAGCAGCCACTGAACTCCAGTCTGGGCGACAGAGTGAGACTCCAACTCAAAAAATTAAAATTAAAAAGAAGCCCATACATGCCACATGACCCATTACCTACTAAGTCCTGAAGTTGTATCTTGGAGACATTTTGCTGGAGATATGGGATCTTATGCATTCTGGAGAAAAAGAGCATTGAGAAATACAAAGAGTAAAAGAGAGGCTGAGTATGAGGAAGACGGTCAGAATGTATGATGGTAGACAGGACACCTCCAATTCCTTTTCCACCTCCTTTATGGTGGACCATTTGGGGTCCTGTATATGAGTTAGGACAAACACAGGAGGAGGTGAGGCATGATGAAGCTTAGGGGGATCAGAAGTTACTTCAGGCCCCCACGTTTACCATTTTCCAGAATCCTCTCCTGACATCTGACCACAGAGAGATTTCCTAGTTGGGGAACAAAGATGTTTATCATCTCAAGGGAGACAATGTCTCTTGATCATGGTTGCCAGGCATCTCCTAGTCCTCTCTACATCTTCAAAGCTAAGAAAGGTAGTCATCTCTTTAGGGATTGTTAGGAAGCAATCCCAGGGACATCATCAATATTTAAGCTAATGACAGAGTATGGAGTGGTTAGGGGACCAGAACTCCACAGGTAATGATCCTGCTTAAGTGAGATAACTAAAGACTGGCTCACTTGTTCTGTGTCTTAGTTTTCTTAAGACTCCCTAAGAGCACTTACCTGTCACCACACAATCAAACCTTGAATTTGGTGAGTAAAGAAAAAGATTTTGCCTGGAGTGTGAATCTCTGGAAAGAAAGAAAACTCGTGTATGAGGGATGGCTTTGTTGCCTCCCAGGTCTGTGATCTCAGACTAGTGGATTCCAGCACCTGATCCTCAGATTATCCAACATAATTTCAGACTGCTGTCCATATGGGCATCAGTGAGGACATTTAACTTATTATCCTCTGGGACTGAAGCCTCATCTGAAAGGGAGGAAGGAATCAGAGTGAACCTGAACCCCTCCTGAGAAGTGGTACATATCCTCTCTCCAGCAGGGTCTGTGAAAATGGGGATGCTGGGATGAGGGAAGATTTAAGGGAGCATCTTAAATGTTTATTGTCCATGTTTTAATGCTCTATGATCTGAGCATTCAACAGTTAACAAGAAAAAGTCCCTGTGTTTAGGAGAATCATATGGTGGTGTGTGAATGTAGGAGAAAAATTATAACAAGTGAATTAATAAGTTGATGTATTCAGATTTACTATTTTTATATTCATAAGATAGAGTCATATGACAGAGGAAGCTTTAGTGAATTACTTAAAGCAGGTGGTAGTGAATATCCCAGTGAGGATGTAACATTTAAGATGCTTGTCATCTTTGGTGACAAAGACAGTTTTGGGAAGATTGATGGAGAAACATTCCCAACAGATGGAACAGCGAGTGCCATGAATCCACTATGGCAATGGCTCAGTATGGTTGACATGTAATGGAGCAGAAAGGGATAGATCTAAGCAATGTAAAAGTTTGAAATTTACCCTGACCAAAATGTGAAGACAATACAATGCTTTAATCTTAAAGGTGTCATGTTCTGTATTCTCATCTAAAAATAACAATTAGAAGATGTGAACAGAATTTAACACAAATAGGAGCCATAGGATTCTGGTGAAGGCTATAACATCCTTGCACAGAAAAATCATGAGGGCTTAGATGTGAAGGAAACAAAGGAGTTGAGTAAGTGGGTTCAGGATATACCCAGAACTAGACTCATAAAGATGGAGATTTCAGAATCTAGTCCTATATTTCTCAGCTGTGTGACATTAGGCATACATATTTCTCTCTGACTCTGTTTCAATTGATGGAAACTTGCACTTGGGCTGTCAGAGAATAGGATAGCTCAGCATAGAACCTAGCTGGAGAACACGACATAATAATCTTCAAAAGAGAAAAGGTTGAACTCAGACTCTTGGGCTCAACTGATAGTTCTACTAGTTCTAGTCACTAAACTCATGAAGCATCAATTTCATTGAATAGACTGTTAAGCTCATGAAACCTCCTTATTTATGCTGAAGATAATATGTAATTGCAAATGTGGAATACCTCTTACGCTAAGAAGAGTCCTGGCAAGGAAAATGTGCTCATATATGGTATAACATTTGCCAACTCACCTTTCTCTCCCATGAACCTGCCACCCACCTCACTCTTTGTCATTACTGGGAGGCAGGATCAAGATTCTGTGGAGCAATTTTAACTCTCAGAAACTGCATGAGAGGCATCCTCAACCTCTGGTCACCTTCATTTTCCTTCTCAGAAAGTACAGTTGTGGGATGAGAAGAGACAAGAGGAAATGGTGTTCAGTTATGATAGATGTGGAGGGAGGTGTTTCCTTTCATGAAAAATAAACTGTCTTTTATCATGGAGAACCTGAAGCCTGGCAGACTTGGGTTCAGTACTCCAAGTGTCTCACTGGCTGTTTGATTTGGACAACTATCTTCACCTCTCTTAAAATTTTTTGCACATGGTAGAAAATGGAAAAACTAATTGTTCAGATAGGAATTTTGGGAGAGTGAGATGAAGCATGTGATGAATCCACTTGCAGGATAATCTTAAAATACCAGAAATCCTTTGTAGATACCCAGATATTCTAGGACTCTATTTTGAGTATTCAGTCATTTAAGGTAATTTTACTGTGCTCTACCACACATTCCAAACAACTCATTATTGTTATCAGGAGCTTGCACATGGAGGACTTTGATGGTAGACAGCAGACAGGTCCAGGGCTTGTCCAAATGTGTAGAGGCTCTTAATGCACCAGAGAAGATGATTTGAAACAGGAACCAGCAATTAGTTGAATCTTTCTGTTCTGTTCTCTCATCACTGATGTAAGACCCTGCGGTAATGCTTCCTTTATTTAGGACCCAAGGGTTGGCCAGACATCTATATTCTCTGCTGCCTGAGGAATTACTGTATGCTAAGCTTTTGTGAATTCCTTCAGTGTTTTCCTTGGCTCCCTCACAGGTCCCTGGACAAGAAGAAAAATTAACTGTCCTGGCCAGAACCCAAACCCTGGAGTGAGGGGATTGGTGAGCAGTGTGAAAGCTCCCATTCCCTGTAACATGTATAAGGACTCACTCCTTTCCATTACTTAAATACAAAATGAACATGTTGACTGAAAAAGGGTAGGTAGAAGGAAAAAGACCCAAATATGGAACACTATCTGAGGCCTCCTTTTAGGCAGAACAGCACTGTTGTGCATGAAAGCCCAAACTCCATGGTGCAGGGGACCACAGCCTCATCTCCCAGCTGATCAGGACTTATGTGTGGTGAAATAGAAGGTCAGGATGACTCATTCATGCAGCAGTAATTGGGGACTGCCCTTTCAGCTCTAGAATATAAACCTTTAAAATGGTCCATATGGATCTGACCAAGCTGAGGAGGACCCAGCTATTATTAGTGCCCAGAGACACGTCTCAGTTCTTCCTTATTCAACAAGTCAGTCATTATAAGTCATGATGGCTACTTTTATTTTATTTTACTTATTTGTTTTTAAAGATGTGGGGTACAGTTCAGGGTTAGGTATACAAATGTTCATTATGCAGGTAACCTTGTGGATGAGGTGTGCACCCCTCCCCTGGCATATTCATTCCCACTACTGGCAATCCTACCCCTTCCCTCCCCCCACCCCACAGCAGTTTTACACTGCTGCCAATCCCTTTCTTATAGTATTATAACTGTTCGTGGTCTGCTTATTAATGATACTATGTGACACTCAGTTTTTTGTTTCTGTAATTGTTCACTCAGTATTTTTTTTCTGTGTCATTACAACCTTTGAAGATTAAATCCTTTTTTAACTTTTAATTTTTTATTTTAAAGATATGGGGTACAATTCAGGGTTAGGTATACAAATGTTCATTATGTAGGTACCCTTATTGATGAGGTGTGCCTCCCAATCCCAGGCAAATTCCTCCTACTGCCAATCTCACCCCCTCCCCCCGCACCCTGGCAGTTTCCTTCTATTGCAAATCCTTTTCTTATAGTATTATAATAATTGTTCGAGGTCCACTTATGAGTGAGAGCATAAGATATTCAGTTTTTTGTTTCTGCAATAGATCACTCAGTATTATAGACTCTAAGTCAGTCCATCCAATTTGCTGTGAAGTTCATAACTTTGATACTTTTATCTTGAACTACTTGTGGCTTTTTGGCCTGTTTTTTAAAAAGAGAGATGCGATTTTTAAAAAATTAAGAAAACTTTATAATTTTGCCATATGTTTCTTCTCCACCCTCTACCCTAATAGAATATTTGAATGTCTGCTCAGGAATCACAAACTTCCTTATAGGGACTGACTATAGACCTGAGCTTAGTCTCATATACACCACACACTGGAAAGCCATCTCATTTTATGGAATGTGCCTCTCCACAAGTGTGGGTGATGTCAAACTTAAGGCAGGTGTCCCCACATCTAGGATATATTTGTTTTTTGTCAACATCCTTTATTTCATTTTCATTTTATTTTAAAGATGTGGGGTATATTTCAGGGTTAGGTAAATGAGTGATCATTGCACAGGTAAAATTTGGGTCTTACTTTGGTCCCCACGTCATCTGGTTTGAGAGCAGGTACTGACTCCATCCCAGTTGCTGTGAAGTTCATAATTTTGTCCTTCTTTATGGATGCATAATATTTCACCATGTATACATACCACATTTTTAAAAATCCAGTCTATGAGAATTGTTAAGGGAAGCGGCAAGATGGCGACGGGGCAACCCAGTCTCTGAAGCCCTCTGCAAAGGAGATCAGCAGTGGGTCTCTGACTCTCACCCTGGGGGGCTGTGGACCCCAACATCGCAGCCTGCTCTTCATACGGAGCACGGCCCTTGCCACCGCTGGGACATCTCAACGGACTGGACAGTCACTGCGGTGCAAACGGTGCTGCCGCAGCCGCCGCAGCCACTCCTCCCACCACTGCTGCTGCCACCGCCACAGCCACAGCCTCGGCCTCCGTGATGGCTGTAGCACATCACACCACCTGGGCCCAAGGTGATCCACATCAAACCCCTTCAGGGAAGATCTGCTGGGATCGTGGCCACCTCACCTGCGACCAAGATTGTCCTTCCCGCCCACCGTAAGGCTCCTGTTGCCTACCCTGAGACAGGCAGCCATCTTGTTCCTGTCTGGCCCCACCCCTTCTGGGGCGAGCAGCTGAGATAGCACCACCTTCTGGCGATTCAAGGTAACAACACCGAAATGGGAGAAACAAGCTTGATAAAGACATAGACCAGAGTGCTGAACACAGGGTAATCTGAACGGTCCTTCACAGCAGATCAGGGGCAACTAACCCTAACTGCAAACTAATTTACCAGCTAGAAAAGAATCTAGAAATCAGACCTGAAAGGACATTGGACTTAAACGAAATGTCTTAGAGTATGCTTCATTGATTCTATTAGTTTAATGTCTTAATTCTATTCCTACTGTAGTGTTCCCTTTTTTCTTTTTTCCTTTTCTTCTCTCTGTAAACCATATCTTTGTAGAGAGGAACAGCACACTACCAAGGTGGTTGGTTAGCTTGTATGTTAGCATCACTATATGTTTTATTTTTATTTTTTATTTTTGTATGAGAGTTGGTTCATCTGTAGCTGTGGTCTATTGTTTTTATCTGTTTCAGTATAGGTCTCTCTCTCTATTTGCTGGCACACTCGTTTGTTTCCCCCCTTACTCCTCTATCTCTCCACTCCCCTCTTCAACTCACTATCTGCTCCATTCTCTTCCCTCTGCTAACCACATTTTATTTAAGGGAGTAAACCTACAACCCCACATTTTATTTAAGGGAGTAAACCTACAACCCCAGACAGATTCCAGGGCAGTGGGAAGGGGGTTCCACATTATCCACACACCTGTCAGCGAATACCAGGACCTGCAGGCAGATTTTGAATCACAGCTCTACTCTTAAGTAAATTTCAAAACTGCAAAAAGGACCAATTCCAACGTACAGTGCAACTCCAGAATTGAACAAAGTAAGAGGACATACATAAAGAATAAGAGATTGAACAAACAGAAGTAAAACCAATCCCTTTATCCCTGAATAACAGAATTAAAGAAGATGGTAACGTGGAGGGAAGGAAAAAGTAGGGAGGGGGAAAAATCACACAAATGAAGAAAAACCAAAAGAAGAATATAGGTCTCACACAGACCCCTGGGAAATCAGACACTGAGAAAACAGATTCTGGAACACAAACAATGAAGAGCCTCCAGAATGAATAGTTACATGCAAAAAACCCAGACATCAAGACATTAATGGAGAGAATTTAAAAAATTGAGGAGAGACAAGAGGAAAATAGGAAGGAGCTGATGTCAGAAATGACAGCAGTAAAGAATACTGTGATGCAAATGAACAACAGACTAATAAGCATGGAAAGCAGAATCAGCTAAGTAGAAGAAAGAATCTCAGCGTTCGAAGACCAAAACACAGAACTAACCCAAACTGTCAAAAGCATAGAAAAGAAGCTCAAAAAGACAGAACAAAACCTGCAAGAGATGAATGATCACTTCAAGAGATTAAACCTAAGACTAATTGGGCTTCCTGAGGCAGAGAGAGAAACAGAAGCCACACTGTAACAAACATTTCATGACATCATTCAAGAAAACTTCCCTCATCTCATTAAGGATGAAAAAATTCAAACACAAGAGATTCAGAGAACCCCTGCAAGACAACAAATGAGAAGACCAACTCCGAGACACATAATAATTCGTCTAAACAAAGTAGCTATAAAAGGAAAAATCAAAAAGGCAGCAAGAGAAAAAGGCCAGACTACCTACCAGGGAAAACAAATTAGAATAGCAGCAGATTTATCCACAGAAACGCTTCAGGCCAGGAGAGCCTGGAGCCCTATCTTCAAA